AAGGACAAAATATAGCACGCTGGCATTTATATTTTGTTATTCCTAACAAGCCCCTTTCAACCACACCTGCGTTTATGTTAATGAGGTCACTTCTGGAAATCCCCTAAAGATGGGGGCTGGCTGAGAGAAAAGCCAGCCATATGATTAGAGGGTGGGACTTTAAGCTCCACCCCCTCAACCTCTGGGGAACAGAGAACTGAAGACTGACTTAATCACCAACAGCCAATGATTTAATCAATCGTGCCAATGTAATGAAGCTTTCACAAAAACTCAAAAGCACAGCATTCTGAGAGCTTTCAGGTTGGTGAAGAAGAATGCACCCACGTGCAAGGAGGGTGCTATACTGCAAACTCCATGGAGACAGAAGCTCCTGTACTCAGGACCTCATCCTATGTGTCATTTCAACTAGCTGTTCATCTGTATCCTTTAGGATACCCTTCATAATAAATCAATACTAGTAAGTAATGTTTCCTTGACTTTTGTGAGTCATTCTGGCCAATTATCACACCCAAGGAGAGGGTTGTGGGAGCCCCCTCATTTGCTACAGCCAGTAGGCCAGAAGTCAGAAAGATGTAATCTAGTAGAGGTTAGGGGGTTGGGGTGGAGAGAGTAAGCAGTGTTACAGATGAAACAAGATTGGTTATAAGTTGGCAGCTGCTGAAGATAGATGAATTGTATGTCACGGTTCATTATACTATTTACTTTAGTGTTTAAATTTCACCATAATTAAATACACGCATACAATTATCAACTTTAGTATTTCATTTGCTTCTTGAAATTCAGATGCCACTAATTCAAAATGATCTCACTGTCCCCTCCCTCTTAAAAAGGTATTTGATAATAGTTGTTCTATGCAATCAACATTGCTATATATATATATATAGAGAGAGAGAGAGAGAGAGAGAGAGAAGTTTGATAAGTTACTCCACATCCCATAAAGTACTGCTGGCTAGCATAAATGTTAGGTTACGTTTAAGAACATACTCACCCCATAAAAATTAAGAAAACAAATGCTGGATTAGTCCATCTCATAAAGAATTATTAAAGCCCAAAATCCAGCAATGCTTTTGTCAAAAAAAGTGTTCCTCCTTCCCTGATGGCCTTAGAAGTACAGCCATGTGCCACATCACAACGCTTTAGCCAAGAGAGGACCACATATATGATAGTAATCCCATTAGATTATAATACTGTGTTTTTACTGTACCTTTTCTATGTTTAGATACACAAATACTTAGCATTGCATTACAACTGCCTAAGCTATTTAGTATGACAACATGCTGTACAGGTTTGTAACCTAGGAGTACATAGCCTCAGTGTGTAGTAGGCTTTACCATCTAGGTTTGGGTAAGTATACTCTATGATGTCTGCACAAAGATGAAATCCCCTGAGGACACATTTCTCAGAACACTTCCCTGTCATTAACTGATGTATAACTGTATATATAAATAGCCAGCATATAGTTGGCAATCTTTGCTTTCCAAGGATTCAAAACTACCTTCAGAAAATCTACATATACATATCATTGTCATCAGCTGAAAATTTAAAAGGCGAGTTTGAAGGAGAGGAAGATGACCACGCATCTCTATGCTTTCAAGGCCCCAAGGGCTTTTCAAGGCTACAATTAAAATGTGGCTTGTTGTATACTGACTGATAGAGGAGATCTGAATTATTCCCTAGCTGGTGCTGCATTAAACCATTTTTCACTAGAATTCCTTCTTCCAGACAGAGCAATACAAGCTCTGCTGCCAGGTAAATGTCATGGGAGAGACTGTTCTATCACGTAACAGATCAGGAAGTAAATTTTCATTTCACAGAGGAGTCCTTTGAGGCATATTTTAATTTTCCTTCTGAAAACACACCTAGTATATCCTCTTCCCTTCTAAAAATCTCTCTTGCGTGTGCGCACTCTCTCTCACTCACACATACACACATAGTCTATAATTAGGCTCTAGTTTAAAACGACCCATTGAAGTGGAATAATAAATAATGCACCTCATCATCGGCCTGTCGCAACCGGGCAACAGCATAACGCCTCACTGTTGGGTTGGTGTAATGAGAGGATAACAGCTCCAAGGAGTCCTCTACATCCATCGGCTTCCATTTTCCCAGAAGTTCCAAGGCCTGTTTGGCCTCTTGAGGTAGATCCCAATTAACACATTTCAAGAACTTTGTCAAGGCCTAAAATCAGAAAATATTTAAAAATTAGAAATAGCCTATTTCCTGGGATAGAGAAGGTGACTAGGCAGAGTTCCACTTGGTCCTAATGACAGAGCCACGGAGTCAGTGATAGACTCCTTGTGTAAACACCAAATGAAGTTATACATACGATCTTTTTTTTTTTTTTTATTATACTTTAAGTTCCTAGGGTACATGTGGATAACGTGCAAGTTTGTTACATATGTATACCTGTGTCATGTTGGCGTGCTGCACCCATCAACTCGTCAGCACCCATCAACTCATCATTTATATCAGGTATACATACGATCTTACAGAAGCACTGCAGGACAGAAAAAAAGCATGCTCCCTGTATCTTTATATTTTCCAGGCCAAATTATTTGCGAGCACTATGAATTTTTAAATTTGTTTTGGTTTTTCTTCATTTTGTTATTGTTATTTTAAAATACTGCAGGTCTCAAGACATGGAAATAGCTGAGGCATTTCTCACAAACTCTAAGATGCCTTAGAGAAAACCTACATTTTACAATAGAAAATACTGCAACCACTGAATGAAAGGGCCAGAAACCATTCTAGGGCAGAAATTCCCACCACTAGCTTCACTCTCGACCACCTCCCTAGAGTATGACCACCGGCTTTCACAGATACTTAAACACGAAGACTCAAACAATGTGCAGTATGTAGGTATCTCTGTGAAGTAACTACTTTAAAAGATAGGCAATCCAACAAAACCTCAAAGCACAAGCATAAAAATGGGTAAGTACAGAAACCAGAAACAGCAGCAAACAGTCTATGATTCATCTGGTTGTACATCTTTCTGGAACCTCACTCCTTTGAATAGGCAGCACATGGAAGTTTTCACAAGACTGTCAGTTAAGCCAATAGTCTTGGAGTATATCACTCATTGCATAGTAAGTGCTCTTTTAAGAAAGGTACACACTTCTTGGCCAGGTGTGGTGGCTCATGCCTGTAATCCCAGCACTTTGAGATACCCAGACAGGAGAACTGCTTGAGGCCAGGAAATCAAGACCAGCCTGGGCAACACAGCAAGACCCCATCTCTACAAAAATAAATGAAAATAAAGAAAAGCATATACTTGCTTTCCATAAAAAGCAACGTTTATTGCTGGGTCTCAAAGGCAACACTTTCCTGGCTGAACCCAAGATGTTTTCTTCTTCTTTGTCTTCCTCTGTTGCTATTTGTTGAAAAATAGGTAACTTGAAAATGTAAGACTCCTGCTCTGCCCAACCAAAATCTTTTTATTAGTAAACTAATCAATTTCTCAAGAAAATGTCTACCTGGACAACAAAACACAATGTCTGTTAGTATGACACTAAATGAACCTTCATAGCCATCCCCTAACTTATTCTTGATTTTACTAAATTAAGAAAAAAGGCCTATGGAGACTGTCTAGTTCAATGTTTAAATCGCATATAACCTCAGCAAAGATAAATGGCTTGCCCATCACCTCAAAATAATGCATGAGCTAGACGTAGAACCCAGGTCCACCAATTCTCAGCCCCACACTTCTTCCACCAGATGGTGCTTTGTTACAATTAAGACGCTCCATCCCCCAGTTAGCCCCATTCCCCCTGGAGCCATTACTCTGCCAACACTAATCTCCTGAATCTATTCCAGTCCCTTTCAATTATTTCCTAGCAATAGCTCCTATATCTGTCCTCAGCCTGATTTCTCATTATATCACACATCTGGAATTGGACAGAACCTTCTAGCTAAGAACCTAAATACCGGTTTCTCTTCTAATCATTTCATACATACTCTTAGAGAAGCTCAAGTTGGAAGTGATCTTAGCACAAATTTCCTATTGTTAGCAGAAATACCCCACAACACGAATGCCAAAAAGAGACCCAATATTTACTTAAGCGACTCGAGGAACTAATTTCCAAAACAGCCATTATATTCATAGAAAGCTAAGCCAGTTTTGTTTTGTTTTGATTTTAACTATAATGAACGAAAAGACAAAAATGTCTTCATATTGCTTTTTCCAATTTGTTAGTTTCATTCTTTGGAGAGAATGAGAGTAAATTTAGCTCCATATGATGTGGACAACCTTTCCAATATTTGAAAAGTTAACAATATTGTTACAAAGTGGTTTTGACTAGATGATAGGACACTCTAGTTTGTAAATAAACAAATAAATAACCTTGGCTTCTTTCTCAAAACATTTCATTGCCACCACTTATCACAATGCAAACCTGTTTCATTAAACTCTCATTGCCCTTCCATGCTTCAGCCCAGTTAACTTATATGAACAATGTCTCTCTAACCCCTGTAACTCTTCATCAAAATAGGGTATCATCTACTCTACAGCCGTCTTGTCCAAAACTCAAGTTTTACAGGAAGATTTCAGTAACTTTCAGCTATTCCTTTAGAAGCTGGCTCAATTTTACTACTGTCATTTAAATGATGTTCTTCTAACTGCCAAAGTTTTTGTGGGCATTTTTATCTCCATAGCTGGAGTCTCTATTCCCCCAAGGACAGCTGTCCATTTCCTCTACACCTCCTGCACACCATTTAGTATAATGCTCCCTTTCTGTATAGAACACAGATTGCCCTACTAACTTATTCCATGAATTTATTTTCCACTTCTAAAATGTATTTCTAGGTTGAATGTGGAAACAAAGCAATACTTCTTAAATAATGACAGTGAAAGCTTTTCCATTTCACAGTACATCAGCAGTCTTAATAGAAATGTGCGGCTATGTACTTATTATAAGCAAATCTTGTAGCATGCCGATGTACTCAATTCAATAACTGAAACAATCTAAAACCTAGATTCTCCGATTTATAGACTTATTAGCAAGATTTATGGAGTATGCTGCTGCCAAAGAACATAAGGCACTGTACAAAGAATTTCACAACTTTTTAATGTTAAACGTTACAAATGTAAACAGGGAGCCAATAGAATGAAGAAGAAAACAAGGGGTCAAAGAATAAGAAAGACAAAAAGTAAGAATTTGAAGACAGCAATAATAATGGCCTTTTTAAATAACCCTAGGTCTTTTAAAGATGCTTTACTGATCCATGCAGGATTAAAGAGCAATTCTCTCTCTCTCTGGAACTTCCATAGATTACTGGAGAGCACAGACTGTAGAGCCAGGGTGTTTGGGTTCCAATGATAATTCCTGGCTCCATCAATTATTACCTGATTAAACTGAAGCACACTATTTAACTTTCAAGAGACCTTTCTCATAGGCTTGCTGTGAAGATTAAGTTAATGAATATAAAATGTTTGTGACAGTATCCTATATATAGGGTAAATAATTAGTTTATTATCAGTCATTATTTTTATTCTATTTCTGATGTTGACATCAAATTTTAGCTTTACTATACGTATTACTATGTTTTATTCCCTTTGATCTGAAAATCACCTGTTATCGCCTATTCTTAGAATCATAATCACCTCAGAACTGAAAATACTATATCTCGTATATATATTTCTAATTTAAACTTCTACCAATTAAATTCTTAGAAATTTCTATTTTGCTGCTTTTCCAATGCTTTTGATTCCAAATACTCAAACATGAAAACATCTCATTCTTTTCTTCCCACCTGCCATATATCCTTATTGATATGGTGTGGCTGTGTCCCCACCCAAATCTCATCTTCAGTTCCCACGTGTTGTGAGAGAGACCTGAAGGGAGGTAACTGAATCATAGGGGCAGGTCTTTCTCATGCTGTTCTCATGATAGTGAATAAGTCTCATGAGATCTGATGGCTATATAAGGGGGAGTTTCCTTCCACAAGCTCTCTCTGCTTGCTGCCATCCACATAAGACATGACTTGCTCCTCTTTGCCTTCCATCACGATTGTCAGGCCTCCCCAGTCACATGAAATTGTAAGTCCATTAAAACTCTTTTTCTTCCCAGGCTCAGGTATCTCTTTATCAGCAGTGTGAAAACGGACTAATACAGTAAATTGGTACCAGAAGTGGGGTATGAACGCACAACGATACAAATCCATCAGGTTCAGACCTAACCCCTGATCATTTTCTACGAGTCAACTTACTTGTATAGCTCCTTCTCCCTCCCTTGCCCTCCAAAACTGTTCTCTCAGTCAGTATATGAGCCTCCTAATTATGTCACTTTTTTCATTTTCTGCTCTGCTCCAATCTACTCTAGTTTGTACTCCTTAAAATATTACTTGTTAGGCTAGTGTGCTGACTCACATCTGTAATCCCAGCACTTTGGGAGGCCAAGGCAGGTTGATCACCTGAGGTCAAGACCAGGCTGACCAACATGGTGAAACCCCATCTCTACTAAAAAGACAAAATTAGCCGGTGTGGTGGTACATGTCTGTAATCTCAGCTACTTGGGAAGCTGAGGCAAGAGAATCACCTGAACCTGGGAGCGGGAGGTTGCAATGCACCGAGATCGCATCATTGCACTCCAGCCTGGGCAACAAGAGTGAAACTCTGTCTCCAAAGAAAAAAAAAGAGAGAGAAATAAACTATCACTTGTTAATACACATTTTCCTGCTTTAGTAGCTTCCTGTTGCCAGTAAAACTGAATTCCTAAGGGTATAATTTGAGGCTCATCACAATCTGATGCCATCTTTTCTATTTCATAACCATTCACGCAAAACTCTGTCTCCTGAACCTAACAGCCTACCTTACTCATGTTTTCCTTCCCCATAAAAAAATGATCACCAAGTAAAAAATGCTATCAAAGTCTGCTCACACTTTAAGGGCAATCTTTGTTCTGTGAAACTTTCCTCATATCATAGCACACTGATCTTGTCATCCTCCACACTTCTATTATACTAATAACCTATATATTTATTAAGACAGTGACCCTTAATCAATTACTATGTTATACTTCTTAATTTTAATTATGTGTAAATATTCTTACCCCAAAACAGTTTTAATTTATTTGAATACAAGGACATGATACCTGAAACCTCATAGTCTTATATAATGCTAGGCCAAGAGATGATAATAAATACTTGCTGAACTGAATTCATTTATCCCATGAGTCACCATCAACTTCTTGTCAGGAGACACAAATATGATAACTGTCCTCATGTCACTGTCTTAGAAACAGCCTTATAAGAATACTCAGTGCATCACTATTACCTTCACTATATGTGACTCTTTCAACTGCTTTTTTTCCCCCAAGCATAATCAAAAGGCATGGAATTAATTTAAATTAGTATTTTTATAAGAAGAAAGTCCATTGTAAAAGCTATTAGGGTGGTGCAAAAGTAATTGCAGTTTTTGTCAAATAGTTTTGAAAAATTACAATATTCACATTTCAGGTTCCACAGAAATGAGTCACTTCCTATATGCTATAAACTACGAATTGGAAAATACTTTATAAATTTAAATGGTAACAAATTTAATTGAACAAAGTTATTACTATGAACTTTCTGGGTACAACATCAAGTCCTGACTAGAAGGTTTTCATCTGAAATACTTAAGACAGGTCATTAAGAAAAAAAAAAAAAAAAAGGGCAGAAAGACAAAATTTAATTAAAAAATAAAAAGTATAACTTTGTAAGAACCAATTTCCACCAATGTGTTTTCTGAGCACTGCCTTCTCTCTAGGAAAGCTTCTCAGCCCCAGGGTCCAAATGTCAAGTAACCGAAATCACAATTTCTGAGACTCTGATGCTAAAAGAATTTCTTTCTGTAAATAAATTAATGGATGGAGTATGAGAGTATCCGTTTTTCACAAAATCCATTTGAAATTATTACAAGGTTACAAATGTGGCTGTGTGAATAATTCCTTTGGTCACTTCAAGGCCTATATATATTTGGTTTACTCCAAAGTGACTTCTGAACACTAAAACATATTGTTCACTCTACTCTAGTGGTCATAAGAATCCTATAATATGTCATGAGAATTGAAGTTTCATCACTCACCTTTCGAAAACTTGAAATCAACTAGTTAGATGAAACTTGTCACACACTTTATATCACTTGAACATTTTATTTCTTTTGCACATATATAGAAGTAATTGAATTTCGGTGGGAAGTGACTACTTGTTTAAACAAATAATTTTTCTTGCAGACTTTTCTATCTAAAAAAGTTCTGCTCTGTAAATCTACTCCTATATGCTTCTTAAACCTATACATTCTAACAGGTTCAATTCAATATCTAGCTGTGTATTTTAAACGACACTGAGCTGCATTCAAGATGCAATTTCTGTGACCAAGGTTATTCTTCATTTAACACAGTATCATGACAATAACTCAATCTTTTAATAAAACACAAATCACAAACCTGTGTTTCTGTTGGTATTTCCTTTTGTTCAGCGATTAAGAGAATCATACTCAAAGCTACAGTAAATTAAAAATTATTCTCTCATTCTTATTATGGATATAAAGAAGAACAAATATGATTCATTTACAAAGAACTTCTGAAGGCATCAATAAATGACAAAGCAGAAAAGCTGAGGAGTTAAGATGAGCTGCAACTGCATTTTTATCTTTACTTTAGAAACTAAAGAAAGGGCATTTGGTTCCGAAAAACAACTTAAAATAGTAGTTAAAGACCATATCACAAGATTATAAAACATATTAATTCATTCATTCTCATAGAAATACGTAACAGCTTCCTGAACAGATATTAATTTCCCTAATGCTTCTCTGCTCTTCCCCTAATGCATTTCAGGGTTCCCGCTAAGGCATGTGCATGATGTTGAAAATGTTTTCTCTATAATTCTCTTTTCTATGTCTTCACTGACTTTCTTTTCTTCTAATTCGTAGATGCAAGCATATCAAGAGGCTGCATGTATAAGCTTTGTGAGTCTGCATAGGCCCCCTAATCTTTCTCAGGCTCAAGTTTCCTCATCTGTAGAACAGTTACAGTAATACATACATTGTGGAGTTGTTACGGGATTTAAAGAATTCCTGGTACATAGTATCTGCTTAAAAAATGCTGGCTATTATTATGATACCTTAAGAGGTACCCCTTGGCTCTCTGTTTTAAGATTTTACAGACTATTCTAAACACTAGGAGACAAAGTTCACAATCACATGATCGTCTTACATTAAATATGAGGAAACTAAAGCTTATATAGGCAAAGTAATTTGCCTGTAGTCAAAAAGCTTCTTGGGGGCAATAGTAAAACTCAAAACTAAGTGTCCAAAGACTTCAGATTAGTGATGACTACTTCACCACAATTCTCTCTCCAGAAACCTTATCCACTCCATGGTTTTATTACAGGAAGCAAATGTCTAGCTGTGACCTACCCGTTATCCCGTATGCCTACCTCTATGCTACTCCACCAACTGAATTCCCACAACTCAAATTATATTTCTCATTCTCTCTAGCCACATCTCATCTAGAATTCTGTAGTTTCATTATTATAATAACATACATATTTTCCTAGTCACCCAGGTTCAAAGAGGTAAGAAGAAGAGAACCAGCATTTACTGTGCACCTACTATGCATCAGATACTCTACCAGGTTACTTACCTGTATTATCTTACTTGTGAGACAGAACTGTCTCCACTAGAATAATAAGGACACTAAGCTGCCAAAGTAAGTTGCCTCATCCTACCAAACAAGCGTTAAGATGTACTTCTGGAAAATGAACCCAAGTCTCTCTGACTTCAAAACCCATTCAGACATTGCCTATGAGTCAACAAACAGGTACATGTGTCTTTGTATGCAGACTTTTATAATCTTTTTAAAAAATGGAGTATCATATACACTGCTCTGTAACTTTAAAGTGACAATAATGATTTCCATGGCATTCTCCTCATCTTGATCATTAATAACAAAGTTGGTAGATAAATTTGATATATGAAAGTATTTAAGACACTCACTTTTTCTTGATTTGTAAGATAATATCTAAACTTCCAAACAAGATCTTGTTCTTCATATGTAAGTTGTTTGGTTGGTGGATAACTCACAATAATCTAAAACAGAAAAAGAAAAAGAACTAATTTTGTCAACCATACATGCCCTATATATTTCCATTTCACTTAATATTTTTCATTTATTTAAATAATTCTATACTACAATTATTATACAAACAAGGAAAATGTAAACACAGTCAAGTAGGCCTTAAATTTGCTATAATTATGTGTCCAAAATGCAGTTTAAAGGAGACGAACAGAAGGTCATATTCCATAGGTAAATATTTAACTGGAGAGTTCATTTAATTCAACCAGAAACAAAACATAGCAAAATAACAATGTCCCCTACCAGAAAAAGGAAAAATGTGCACACAATAAATTCTTTTAAAGTCAATGCATACAACAAGGCATGTGTACACACTAAGTCCTCTCTCAGGCAATGTCTTAGGGCCAGCTTCTAAGAATACTATCTATTGACATGAAAGAATATAGTATTTGCAGTTCTGTCTCCAGAGATAATAAATTTATGGAAAGTCCCAAATGATAACAGAACTGCTGATCTGTGAAATTATGAACATGATGCAGGATTCATCAACCTGGAGAAAATGTGCATCTAAATAATTTTTAAGTGAGGTGATAGCTATCAGCTTCAACTAAAACATCCATTTAACTATTTTTAAATTAACATTGCATAATTCTCTTACATTTAACTGATCTCTTGTGGCAGCATTGGGTTTGAGATCATGGTCAGAAGGTCCACTTCTTAAACTCCGGGCAAGCTTGTGGTGTTTGCTCTCCACTAAATTCTCCTATAAATTATTTTAAAATATTGACAATGTAAACTTCACCAAAAGGAAATTTCAACAGTTATTCATAAATAGAAAAGGTACTTAGAAGCATTTAATAATATTTAATGTTTTATTCTGATCCAACTTTAGCAGTCTTCTACATATCTTAAAAATATGTATCCTTCTCAAGACTGGGAAACTAAGTATGCCTTAAACTCCACTAGTCCCATAATATACACATGTCATTAAAGCTTCTTAAAATATCTTCCCTTCACTCTCCACATATTCAGGGTTTCCATATCCTCTAACCAGTCAAATATCACCATCACTGTAAAATCTTCCCTGACAACACAGACTAAAGCATTTCTTCCTCCTATCAGCTACTAATGACCCTGTGATGTCACTGTATTATCACCGTAGCAGTTATTTAAGCTATCAGTCACTGAGGGCAAGGACAATAATCACAACGCTTAAATATACACATCTGGTGCTATTTTACCCATGGACAAAATTATTAGTTTTAACCATACTGTCATTGCCTAAAACAAGATATAAATTTATATTATTTATTTCTTATTGCATGTGTGAATTGTCTGTTTACATCATATTCCTAATTTTTTTATTGGCTTTATGGTCCTTTGTCCTTCATTTTTAAGAGTTCTTTATATACCAGCTTTAATATATCTGTAATGTATGTAGTTAAGTATTTTCTCCCAGTTTGTTAACTGTCCTCTGGCTTTGTTGGTCTCTTCAGCCATGTAATTTTTAAAATTTAGTTAAATTTATCAGTCATTTATTTTATTGTCTCTGGATTCTGAGTCACAGTAAAAAAGTCTTTCCCTACACTAACAGTAAAATACTAGTATGGTTTCTTTTTTTGAGACAGGACCTTGCTCTGTTGACCAAACTGGAGTACACTGGCATGATTACAGCTCACTGCAGCCTTGACCTCCTGAGTTCATGCAATCCTCCTATCTCAACCTCCCAAGTAGGTAGGACTACAGGTACATGCCACTACCTGGCTATTTTATTTTTTGTAGAGATGGGGTCTCCTTAAGTTGCCCCAACTGGTCTAGATCTCATGGGCTCAAGCGATCCTCCTGCCTCGGCCTCTCAAAAGTGTTAAGATTACAAGCATGAGCCACCATGCTTGGCCTAGTTTCATTTCCTAACATTTACATTACAGATCCATTTGGAGTTTATTCCTATGTATGGTATGAGGTATGGATATAATTTTAGGTTTTTTTTCCAAATTAATTCCATTCCTCAGCCTTAAGACTTAGTGAAGAAATGCCACCTTTATCATATACTAGATTTCCATACATACTTGGATGTATTTCTGGGCTTTTAATTCTGTTCAACCAGTATATTGGTGTACATATATGTGTCAGTACCACATTATTGTAATTATAGTCTGTTTTATTGTCAGATACAGCTGTATATCATCTCAGTCCCACCCAAAGTTTACATTTAAAATGTGTTTCTACATTTAACAAATAACTATGACTACAGGCTGAACTGAATTTCTTCATACTTAGTGTGTGCTCTGAATATCAAAAATGTAAAATATAATGTGATTTTATACTGAAAATTCAGTGTCAATTTGAGATATATTAACTGGATTCTACTATACTATGCATAGGAACTGTCGAGGTCTTTAGAATGTTCCTACTAGATCCTCAAATGGCCTTTTCTTTTTAACTTTTTATACTCTACTTTCCCCACTGCCCATCTCTTCCTTTGATATTAGGCCATCAGCCAGCCATTCCTGCTTTCATGACCTGTACTTATCTCAATCATCATGTTTTCATCATCCAATGTCCCAATTTTAATCCACTTTGGTCTGATGAGGAAGGTAAACTAATCTAATTAGAAATGAATAAAATTAGAACAAAAAGAGTTGGAATGATGTAAATGAACTGTAACTGCGAAAATCATGGTATCTACTGTGCTGCTAAAAGGAGTTTGTGCCTACAAGTTTGTAATTCTAAAGTCATCTAATTAAACCTCTTTTGCATTGTATGAATTCTTATCCTCATATCCCTGAGAGAAAGCTATCATCTCAAAAATTCGTTAATAAGAAGGTATCCCACCATCATCCAAGTTATCATGTTCCAAATTGAATAGTTCTAGGGATACAGCAATCTTCCCTACTTTCCAACAAATGGGTCTCCCTAAAATTTTGATGCATTCATTCTAGTTATAGAATCCTCCTGTAACATGCAAATTCTCCTTCCATATGATGACAATCTTTCAAATACCAGTTCTGTCAAGTCTTCACTTCAAGATTACATCCCCCCAACCCGAAGAAAGAAAAAAAAAAAGGACTATACTGCCTAGCTCTTTCAGCAAATCAAATAAAATGGATGCCCAACCCTACTCTACCCTTACCTTAGTTTTAAGATGTCGATATTCTTCATAAAATTCCATCAGAAACAGAGTCTAGACGCTAAAGTGAATTTATGAATCACTTTTACATAACAGAGGCAGTTACATATAACTTTATTTAAAGAAAGTACATGATGTGGCTAACTCACAATTACTCTGAAGAAAAGTATTTTCATAAAAAAATTTGCACAATAACTTACCATAGACATCTGGGGGTCAGGAACTTTCACTAATTCAAAACTTGTTAAAATTGGAGATGATTCATCACCGTCCTAGATTACAGAGCAATAATTTTTTTAATAAAGAAATTTAATCCAATAGGAAACAGTATATGATGTACACACCAATGTATTTAATTCTATTTGATGAACATCATTCTTACCTCTAAAGAAATCCTTATCTTCTTCTAACAATATTACAAAATGCATATCCACTTTGTACCTCTCTTTGGTTGATTATGAAATTATTTTGAGAAAAACTCTTAACAAAACTGTGACTAAAGTTTTAGAGATATGAGGTCTGGAAATTAGATTGTTTTGAGTTGTTCCTTTTCTTTTAAACTTCGTTCATATAATAACAGTGGATTTTTAAAAACGTGGTAATTTTCAAACTCAGAACAAAAAACCACAGACTATATGTAAAATATGGCACAATAGATGTGTTGCACCACTTGCAAAAACTAAGTGGTAATTTTTCAAGGTATCACAACTGAGATCCATTCAAAGGAGCAGAATTTTAAGTGTGGGGTTAATATTACTCAAATTTATACACAGCCAGAGAATTACCAACATTGTTTCTCAAAGGTACACCTGCTCGACATAATCTAAACTTGAATAATAAAATCAATCAATCATTTTTTCAGAAATAAAGCCATCCTATTTTGTTGGTATTATCACCTTTGAAGAATGTTGGCTTTTATTTTTATCCAATGCGAGAAAGGTAATTCAACATAAAAATGTCACTGCCAAATATACTGGAAAAAGGCTAAACTAATTAAGGTCAAAATTCACTTTCTCATGATTGTATATCTAGCATCAAGCTTTTCTGTCAATTTCCAAATGCTAGTATGTTTTCAGTTTTAAATACGGGCAACAAACTCAGGAGAGACTGAAAGCAGGGAAGCACTGTGACTTGACTTCAGTTCAGTAATTGAGTCTTACAGAAAACCACAAATTCCCACAGCCGTTGTTTAACAGGCTTGTTCTCAGTCACAACACCAGAAAACACATTTATCAGCCCAACTGTGACAAGTAATCTTCACTAAGGCTATCTGTCACAAAAGACAGGTGACAAGAAAGTCTATTTCCATTAGATTCAATACACTGGCCCAGCAATCTTTACACTAAGTGGAAATATGACAGGGTGAGTAGACGGGCATTAATTTATGAGCAATTTTCAGGAAGTGGTAGAAAGGGGTCAAGAACCTTTTCAAAATACTTGAAATTCTTCTAATTTCTATTCTGTTATTATTTCATCTGCTATCAAAGCTGTCTTTCAAAGGATCCTTCACATCTACAACGTTTCAAAGTAACTTCTCCATTAGCATGTTTCTGCAATACAAACTCTATGTGGGCAGAAAATACTGCTTTTAATGAAATTATATATAGTATAAAATATAAAATATGATTTTATTAAAATGCACTGGTGACAGAACAGGTTCACTCACATTTCCCTTTTTTGATCTATTTTTTCTAATAAATTAATAAACAGTATTAAATAATCTATCCAAGGAGTACCATTTGTAAAATAAAAGGCAGAAACAAGTTAACACTTCCTAGTCTTTTACTAACATGGAAGGGATATAAGTTAAAGACAAAAATATGAACAGTAACTTGAAAAAAGATCATAAATAAACGGTAAAAACTCAAAACTTCATTATGAAAACCTTTCCAACAGTAATTTATAAAAGTATATATATTTTAAAAAACACTTGTGACAGCTTTAATAAACAATAAAATGTAAATTTAATTTAAAATGACTGCTTCTAATGAACAAATACACTGCATATCAGCTTGGTCATATGCTAGAAGAAATATTAATCTATTAATCTACTACTATGCCATGTATCAAAAGTCTGTCATCATTTACGCTGATTTAACATTTGTCGAGTATTAACACGATAACAGAAGACATTTTATGGGGTTTCAAACTACGTATACTTTTAAAAATTTTTTTATATTTATTTTAAATAAAGATGAAGTCTCGCCATGTTGCCCAGGCGGGTCTCAAACTCCTGGGCTCTAGTAATCTTCCCGCACAGTCAACCACAGTGCTGGGATTATAGGCATGAGCCACCATACCTGGCCTGCATACAATTATTTTCTGTAGTACTTAAATATATAATTATTTCTGTAGTACTCAAATGAAGCACCTTCTACAAAAATATAAGGAAGATACTTTCAAGTAGGTACATACTAAACACAGAACTACTTTCTGTAGCATGATGGGCAGAACAAAGCAAATCTATAACTGCATATTTGTTATTACCCAGCTTGATGGTAAAATTGTTGCCTTAATTTTGCATCTGCTGTACAAATAAATGAACATTTCTGAAGTATTTCATAAGTATACGTTAGTGAGGGCCACATACAGACATTACACATACCCTCAAATAACAGACTCTTAACTTTCAATGAATAGCCTACCACTTAGAAATATAATTTCCCCCTTTCATTTTCTCAATAAATAATATTAGTAAATAAAGTCATTACTTAGTGTCCTACTTGTCAATTTGCAGAACAATTAATCACAAAGTTTTTAATCACTTGCATACTTACTGAATTCTGTAACCCAGAACTGCATTACATGAGTGATCGGCTTTTGTAATCTTGTTGTAGTTATATGATTTGATTTGTGTATACATAAACAGCTGCTGCTGACAGCTGTCTGATGCTACCCTGCAACCAAGTAATTCATCCCAGCAGGAACACAGTAATACTTTTTAATGTTTCCTCTCCCCTCTAGAGAGCAAAAACAGTTCCAAGGCAAATACCTTTTCATAATAAACAATACCATATTCCTTATCATCACACTTGACACATCGAAACTCAACCATCAGGTACATGAAATTAGAACTTCGTTTTTCACTCTGAAAAAGAAAAAAATGATTTTCATGAAAAATCATTATTTTCAACATTCTCTTAAAGGATCAGTATGCATCATTTTTCCCAATTCAGTAACACACGTATCTATCAAATACAAGTCAAAACATAACACATTTTTATTTTATTATATAGATGTAGTGTGTTTTACACAGCACTATTATTTTATTACAGACAGCACTACTGTTTATTCAGTGGTGTCTACCATGCACTTATAACTGCTTTCTCAAATTGAACATTTTTGGTGTATTCAGTAGTTTGGGTTTATAATCTTGAAGGTATTTTGCACACATGTTCATGACAACTATTTTATTTCAAAAAAAAAAAAAGACTGGTTTGTCCTTCTAACAACTGTAAGCTAAGTTCACCCTTAACCTATATGACTAAACTATAGAAATCAATATATGTAACAAAAATCAAAAATAAAAAAAGTGTGCAACCTAAGAAAAGAGACCATTTGAGTTTACCAAGTATAGCCCTTACAAGTTTCTCACAATTTATAAATGGTCTTAAAATGATTTGTCACTTGTAAATTTTTATCCACACTTTAAATATACTGCGGAATAATTACTTCTTGTTCCAATATAAAAAAAATTATTTATATAATTGTGTCCCCTTTAAAATAAAAAAGCAAACATGGTCACATGTCACTTAACAATAGGAACACATTCTGAGAAATGCATCATTAGGCAGTTTAGTCATGTGAACATCATGAAATGTAAACACACAAATCTAGATGGTATAGCCTACTGCACACCTAGGTTATATGGTATAGCCTATTACCCCTAGGCTACAAACTTGTTACTTCAGGTTAATTCAGGTTACTGTACTGAATACTGTGGGCAACTGTAACACAACAGTTAAGCACCTGTATATCTAAACATACCTAAAAGAGAAAAGGTACAGTAAAAATAAAGTACTATAATCTTATGGAACCACCACTGTACATGTGATCTGTGGTTAAACGAAATGATGTGATGAGGCACATGCCTGTATGAGGGTGATGATGAAGTGAAAATACAATGAAGTCTAAAGGGGTAATTAGCCTTGACCCAAAACACCTGTATAAATGGTTTGCGATCTAATATGTAAAATCACCAGGCATGGTGGCTCACACCTGTAATCCTAGCACTTTGGGAGGCAGAGGTGGGAGGACTGCTTGAAGCCAGGAGTTTGAGACTATCCTGGGCAATAGAACTAGACTCTACAAAAAACTTTAAAAATATTAGCCAGGCCTGTAGTCCCAGCAACTTGGGAAGCTGAGGCAGGAGGACTGCCTGTGTCCAGAAGTTTGAGGCTGCACTGGGCATACCAGGGTAATCCAGTCTGAGTGACAGAGTAAGACCTTGTCTCAAAAGAGAAAAAAAAGAAATGATGATAAATAATAAAGGTCTGAAGAGGTTACTTATATTATTCAGCTTTATGAAACATATTATAGTCTATTTTGGTAATGGTAATAGGGTGGTAATGGTAATTTCTTTTAAAGAAATTAAAATGTGAAAATATGAAAGAGGCTGGGCAAAGAACACTCTAACATTACATTTTCCATACCCAGTGATATCTAAGTTTAAGAGAAAAACGTAAGTTAGTATTATGAGTAAACTTTTTGAAATGTGACTATTATAAAAATAAAAAAGTAAGACTTTCTTCCAGTTTAAGTATATAAGAATGTATTATGAATAAATTTAGAAAAGGGACCAAATACGAGAATTGAATGTAAATGTTGTTCAACATCACTACCTTTATTTTAAAATAAAAGAAGGCTAAAATCTAACTTTTACAATGGTTCACTGTAAAATTAAAAACTTCTCTCTTTCTACCTGCTGAAAATTATTTGGAGAATATAAATTAAGTAAGTTGTGGCTGATGGTCATTATAAATTAGACAAATCACAAATTGATGTCCTTCTCTCCTAATCTGATTAAAAATATAATTATTATTTCTGTTCTCCAGGTGTGGAACATTAGGCCTAACATCTGGTATTTTAGAGCAAATATACAAAAAAGGAAACTATTCTTGTTACAACTTCTGGCAGGACTCTCATTGAAGCCATCTTTATTTAAACATATACACTGGCTCATATACAAGGTCAAGAAAAAAAAATCACTTAAATCATGCACCCTTACAGAGGGTGCAGAGTCCTATATGCACCCTCTATAGACAAGCGATAAATTAATTGAAGAGAGAACTTGCTGAAATGATTTATGGTAACTGAAGTGAAAAGCTGGCACTGTGCTGATGGAAGATTTATCCAACACTGACTTGAACATGAGCTGATATGACAGAGAACCCACCACTGAGGCATTAAGCCTGCACAGGTTTCACTCATATGGTATTTAGAACATCTTACAATAGCCACTAACTACTTCATGGTTTGACATTACGTTAAAATATAGGGAAGGCTGATACCTCAAATTTTCCAGTTATTAGTATAGAATTCCCAGCTACAGGGGTTAACCCTAATAATCCTACATTTGTAAGATATCTAATAATAAACAATTCTTATCAAAAAATTGTTAATTTAAAAATTTACAGAAAATATTTTAAAATAAAAGAGGGATACAACCCACCTCATTTATCATTTCTATTTCTCTAAATGTCAATCTATCCAGCCAATCTACTTTCACCATGTGTCCTTGTCGATGAGCTTTGGTGAGCTGCAGAATAAATACAATGATGAGAATTTTAATACAGATCTAGTAGAAAGAAGGACCAAGAATGTCAGAATGGCAATGTCTGTTTCACATATGATACTTACCTATACACAAGAGAAACCATATGCAACTAGCAGGATAAGAAAGTTGGCAAGAGACAAATCATGATTTTTTTAAAGAAAAACAAATACATTTTTTTAAAAAGGTCCACAATTTGCCATATTTTGACATGATAAAGAATAATGAAGTTGTTCCTGAAATTATCTCCATGTTCTATATTTCTCATATTTTGACTATTACAAAAAGATGGAATTATATAAATAGTTTCATGAATGGGAAATAAACCAGTTTTTTCTTCCCAGCTTTCAATGTATCTAACCAACATGAATAAATGACAGTTACAGGTAATAAGGCATTGTTCTGGGTTTATACATTAATATTCTAAGGTTTAAGCTTACACATACGCATGTATGCTTTAATTTTAGGGAACGGTGATGAAAGACTTCAGTTTTCTAGAATAGCAGTTGGTAGAGTCCTGTGAGGTCTTATGTACCAATCTAACCTTAGTTTTACAAATTAAATAATAATTCTTCGACTCCTTCAAATCCATAGAGAATTCCAGGTAAGTTCCAAGGTCCTCAAATTAGAACCAGGTTTTGAATTAGAATGTGTAATACTAAAAATCAACACCCCTCTCATTCCTTCTAAACAAATTGACAGTATAAAGCAAAACTGGACATGAAAGTTTTACATAGTAGCTTATCTATATCAGTTTCTTCCACTTCACTGTCCATATCGTGACAGCATTCCTACAAGAACAGCAAACACTGCCATCAATTTTCTCTGTCTTGCAGACCTAAAAATCTTCACTATCAATCTTTTTTCTCTTCCTCAACTCATCACAATTATGTGGTCACACTATTTCAGAAATAAAAATACTAACGTCACACAAAAAGTCTGAAGTTCATTTTAATAAAAAAAAAAGTATTATCAATTTAGCTTTCTTCCAATAATTCCCTCTCACGTGAGGTAATTTCTGTATGGAATTGTATGAAAAGTTATTAATAAGCTTAGCATGATTACAAAAAGCAGCAACTAAATATTGTGTTGGCTCTGGTGGAATAATAGACAAATATGCTAGCAACATGGAAAGAGACCTAGAAATAGTCACAAGGAAACCAAAAGAAGATCAGGCAATGTGACCTACAGAAAAGAATGATAGAGTAGAAGCCGGAAGACCAGAGTTCCAACCTTAATACTCCATTTTCAAACTATGTCCTTTCTGAACCCACATAAATAAAATCAAAGTATTAATGTCTATTCTTACTCCCAAAACTCAAATAAAATAACAGATGCAAAATATAACAGGTGGTATTATTTCATGCAGTCATTGGAAGCTTCTATTCTCACTCACTTCGCAATATGCTGCAAATTGGTTTTCCAAATAAATGAAAATATAAAAGGTCATTTTACATCCTTTGCTTGTACGAATGAAATAACAATTAGTAATAAGAGTTTGTATACTTCCTAGAGGAATCGAGAAAAAAATAACATTTATTTACATGCCAAATTATAGGCACTTTTTATAACCACACTATTTCATAGACAATTTTGACCCCCGTTTGCAGATGACTATCAACTACTACTATGAAGCGGCCAAGCTAGGGTTTAAATCCCGGTCTATATGATTCTAAAGCCTATACTCCTACCACCAGTCTCTGCTATCCTCTCTACTGATGTACGATGAATTTTAAGTGAAACTCATTTCTGTCATTTCTTGAATATTAGTTTTGTATTTATGATGTAATAGTTGATCCACTACTAATTTCCTATGAGCAAAGAATTGACAATGGTAAATTAAGTTTAGATGAGGGAGAATGTGGTGGGAACATTTTCCTCCTTTACTAAAACTATTCAGACAAATTAGAAATGTTCTAAAGCCATTTTCACTAGCTCACGAATTTATGTTTGCTGCTAATATATATTATCTCCCATATAGCATATGATTAGCTTTCTAATTTGAATACCAAATATGACCGATTGCACAAGAGCCACTAAAGAATGTATGGACAGCATGCCAGTACTAAAATTGGTACAGTCACTATGAAAATAAGTTTAAATTATACTAGAGAAATTCACATTTGTGCACCATTATTTGCAGTACAGAAAAATTAGACA